TCCAGGGGTAGGAAGCCAGAAAGGTACGAAAGTTACACGAATCAGCGGAACTATATCGCCAAAATGTGCGTCTAGAATTGGGAGGAACATTAGGACAAATAATTTGGGTAGAGAGTGAAATAAGACAATGGTCCGATGGGCCCATAGTTGTGGTCTGGATTTGAGGACAAGATCAAGGGTATGAGCGTGGTCAGGGATACGTTCGGGAAATTAACCAGTTGTTGGGGGCTGTTCAATAGGACAAATGATTCTGCTTCACGGGGGCAATGTCCCTGAAGAGTGTAACAGCCGATCCCTGTTACGGACATTCGAAACACCCAAAATTGTGAGCTGAGCGTTGGGGTCTGTTTCAACAATACTATCTATATTTGCCGATAAAACATCAAAGGGTGAAGGGGCACTACTATTTGGGGAACGGTATACAGTGCAGAAGTATTGATTGAAGCAAGGAAACCGAAGTCTTAGCCACAAAGTCTGGAACTCTCTGTTGGTGAGATTTAAGTGGGAGAACGGAGTAGAAACAATTGAAGCACAAACATCAGCTTTGGGAATGATCAAAGTGTAAAGGGAATCATTGGGAAAACTAAAGATGCGTGGTGTCTTTAGAAGCGGAAAGTTGTGTTTCGGGTAAAAATAGATCAAGAGGGGAAGTGGACTGAAGAAATTGATGTACAGAATCAATATTGTGGTTCAAGCCGCGAATGTTAGTGAGTGCAATTGTCGATTGAGAGTGCGCTTGAGAATTGTTCCTGTTTGTTGTAGTATTTATGTTGAGATGAGAGAGTAACCGGCAATCTAACCTCGGAGTGGCGAACCACATAAGGCCCCGTTGGCTAGGCGGTGGTACTGACCCGGACGATGGCAGAACCGTCTACCACCCCTACCGTGTTCCGCGGTAAACTGGTCTACTACATCACGTAGAACTCGGGCTTGTAGCGCCTATCTGAAGCGTTGCTGGTGAGTCGGGAGAGCTTGTGGAAGACAGGTTCCTGATGCGTTTTCCATTTTCTCAACTGCTTTTACCCAGTACCTCCTCTGACCAGCTTTAGCGAAGCTCACGGCCGTTCTGTGCTTACCATCAAATATGATTCTGTTATATTTCAAGAGAGGTTTCGAGGTCCAGTTTTCCAGGAGTTTTGCACCTCCTAGCGCCTTCAACGTGGCTTCATTGACCACTGTCATAATCTCCTTTCTCTTCACTTCCATCATGGGTTCATCGGCTTGTAAGTTATCTACAGTGAGAGTCTAGTTGGTCTTTGACAGCATCTGCGGTTTTTCTAACATTTCCAGAGTAGTAGCATATATTCCGCGGTACTGTATCAAGCTTAGGCACATAAACAGGCTGATTTTTTAAAATAATAATAATAATAATTATTTTTTATTGTGATGAACAGCAACTGGAGAAAACCCCATAGTCGCGAGGACTTTCTGTTCAGTGATAGAAACCGGTAACCTAAGAACCAGTACTTGTAATTGCGAACCACATACGGCCTTGCTTTTTTAGGCGTGGTATTGAACTGGACGATAGCAAAGCTGTCTAACACCAAAGTTGGGTGGCGGTGGCATAGCTCGAACTTCGGTCGATCCCGTCCAAAGCACGCCGGTGACAGCGACTAAACCAGCGCGCCACCACCTACCGGATTTGATCTGCATCGTTCATGTTTCGCTTCATTGCAACGCAAAACGCTCAGCAGTCCTCCACAGACGACGTCCAGAGCGATCATGCAAGCATGTGATTAATTTAGTATGCCGACCATCATTTGATGGCCAAGTCAGTGGGTGCTTGTTGGGATGGTAAAAACGCGTGTTGCAAATAACCACTCTACTGTCATCTAAATTCACCAGTTCGCAACGTTTCCTGTGACACGATGATTGGACTTAATGTGTTGAATCTGTTTCTATACTTTAGGGCTACAGAAAAACGGACACTCATCCCAATGCACCGGCGGATTTGAAGGTTGAACGGGCCAAAGAGAAAAAAGAACCAGTCGAAGTCAGTTGAAACTCGTTTTTAATGACATGCATTTTACAAAGTAATTGCTGTGATCAAATAACCTTGTTTAGTTACAGGCTACTGAAGAATCAAACGGTGAAGTAACCTAGCCGAATTACGTCCACAGAAAAATCGAATGTCAATTTTATCTCCATAAAGATTCTTTTTTTATACACTTTCGTGTGCTGAATAGCAGACGGGAAAAGCCCCATAGTCACGAAGACGTGCCGTTCATTGATTGGTTTGTTTTGTCACACAAACACAACTCACGGTGATGTGCACGCTCATGAGTCCCGGGAACTCAGATGACAAATCATTCAAAACTTCAGTGTGATTGCTTCACTGCACCAAGCTACTTTCCCTCGCTGTTGGTGCAGTTCAAATTTGAACTCATGTGGTACCACATTGACCATAACAACCTGATGCACCTATCTATGATCCGTCTTTTATAGTATGCAAAGCTCTTGAATACAAAAAGACCACCCTCAGGGGTATATACAGACGTACACCTGGCACAGTCTTCTGCAGGCAGTTTGCCTTTCAGTGGAGCAAAGACCATAGTGGATATCGTCGCGCGCTAAGCGGTCTTAGGTATATATATGCTTGTGCTGGTATTTTACAGGCAACTCTCAGCGTCACCATCTCTGTGTTTATCGATGATTCCAACTCCGCCGTTATTCAGGACATATTATTGCATGGCGTCTTCTGTAATTAAGTCTAAAAACCCTGTCTTCAGGCGATACTTGTTCATCTACGAATCGGGATCAATTCACTAGGATCAGACCACCCCAAACCTCCCTATCTCCAATAAGGGGCCATAAATCGTGATGCAGTAACTAATAAGTAATCCTTGTTATTGAAATTTATTCCTAGACGTCTGAGATGCCATTTCTGAACCTCTTCACTGTCGCTAAGGTTAATCCCGCCCTTCTCAACCACGGCGCGTTACGTCGCGTAAAGTGTTGTTTTGAACAAATCTTCCCATTGTGCATAATTTTCTAACAAAGCGAATTCCGCTACTGATCATTGGTTTGCCTCATTAATTTCCGCACAGACTTCAATTCCATTAATCAAACGTGTTTGTGAAGCATTATGGGTGCCGATGGAAAACCTACAGAAAAATTAAAAGCATACTACTTTTTACTCTTTAGCGCTTGTCCGCATTTACTAGGAGTCGATAGAATTCATTTTGAACTCCGGAATCCGCCAGAACTGTTCTCTTTCATAGAAACCATAAATGCTGTTAATCCTTTCTCAGGTGCTGGACACAAATGAAAGTAAAAAAAGTTTCATCCAGAAGCCCCAGTATAATCGGCGGTTGGTGTTTTGGGTTGTGGCTGGTCACCTTTCCTTCACAACTCGTAGCGGTCAGTGAAGTTCACTTCACTGTATTTCGCTGTACGATGATGACTCGCGAAATGCCACGATAGGGCCAAGCATCTCAAAAGCCTCTACTGAGGAAGCCCTCGCTATTTTCTCACCAAGGTGAGAGGACGAAAACCCAACATCCGGAGCTGTAACCAGAGCGGTGGACCATTGACAGTTCATCTATTACAGTTGGCTACAATACTCGATTCCAAACCAGCCAGGAAGCGGGCGAAAGAATCGCACACACTTCTGGTTATGGCGGTAATCGCCGACTCGATTTGGCATTGAGGAGTGTTGGGTTTTTTGCAGTTTCACCTCATTGAAAGGGCTTATGAACGGGTAAACTAGACACCAACCCCCAATAAATTGCGATTTACACTCTGCTCCGCGGTATACACACCCACGCCCATATATATAATGATTGGAGTCCTCTGTGAGGTAACGGCTGTTTGAAATATGCCAGTCGTGTGTAACTAAATGGTGAGCTATTTATTCCGATTGATCTCAAATTTCAATTATCCTACTTTCACTGTTCTGTGTGGTATACTCAGATTAGCATATATTAGAATTTCCAACGAATGTTTCTGATGGGTTCCTTTTCTATCCCTATCAGAAAACGCAACAGCCTGAACCATCTAATACAACGAAAACGAAGTGCAAGCCGAAATTCTATCCACTGTTTAGCGAAGGCGCCCGTGGTGACGAACTAGTCGCCCATCTTCCCGGTCGACATCCGTGCCAGTGTTTGGCTACCAAACATCAACTAATTAACAACTGCACAAATTGTGGTCGTATTGTGTGCACCCAAGAGGGTTCGGGTCCTTGTTACTTTTGTGGCCAATTGGTCTGCTCAAAGGAGGAGAAACAAACCATCGCACTGGGAACAAAACAAGCGATCAAACTCCGAAATCGCCTGTTGCAAGTTCCGTGGGCACCAGGTACAGAGGAACCTATGTATCGAGTAAGACGACGAGCCGAATTAGTTGCCGCGAAGAAACGTGATCTGCTTGCGACGTCCCCAAAAGTGGACTGGAGTCACTCAAAACCCAGCGAGTTACCGCGCGAAACCAGTGACAACTCGGACGATGTGTCGGATGAATTTGCTCCAGATATATGCACTCCGGTGGCCGGTGCTCAACAAAGATTGGAGGAAGGTAAATCGTGAAGTTCTCTAGAAATTTTGAATATCATACCATATGATACTGTTCTACTTAGTTTAAAAATCCTATTGCCCTGAAGTGAAACACTCACATCATCGATCTGGCATTTCTCTGAAATGTCAAGATGTTGTATTTTATACCACCATTACTTTAGGCTTCTTTTACGTCTGTGATCTGCTGAGCTACGGTGTGAAACAGTGAATTTTTGACCATCGTAGTTTGCCTGGTTTAAATATCTAGAGTAGAGTAAATTGATTAGAAACTACAGCGTAGGAGTGGTTTTCAATTCATTTGTATTGTTTTCCCAATAGCTTGAATATCGAAAATAAATTTCTCCCAGTACAAATCTTTTTTACGGAGGCGCCCTTTCCCGGTAGCGCTTCCAAAGGTCTGTGCCCAGTGACCTGGAGGCACTGTGCCGCGGAGTTGTACTAAGTGGCGGTTTACTACCTGTATTCGCTTCTCGGCAATTAAAATGGTTTCTAAATTTAGTCTATTGATCGCCATCATTTTGTTTTTGTACATGCCTTACCTCATAGAATAATTGCGTTGTGCTTATTCTTAACAGACCAGATGAGTAGCTAAAAACAACAGCAAGGAAAATGGTGCATAAAAGTTTACTTGATTAGTGATTACATTGAGTAAAACTGCTGCTGCTTCTGTTGATTTACCGCTACTGGCTGATAGCTATTTGTTCGATGGTGCTCTAGTAATACACAGGTCACACTTCAGAACACTGTTTCTCAAAAACCCGATTTCATTTTAATGTTGTTGATGAATTGCTCGTTTGTGTTGTTTGTCAAGGTCTAACTATTCACTACGACTTTCACCCCTCGGGTTTCAAAATTATCAATCGAAATCTAAGCGTTTCCATGGTCGTAATCTGAATGACACCCAAGTTGACGGATTCCAAGCGCGCCCTTTGACTGGCTGCGGTACAATCTCGTGTTATCACATCTCATCAAATTTGAAGGTTTTTTTGTCATTATTATGGCATTTGTTCGTCGATATACCAGATCGGAAATACTTCTACTCAAACACCCTAACGGATTCACATCACAATTTGATTCAACCACACTCAATTCTCTCGGATTTCGGAATTCACACAAAAAGCACAACCGGGCCGGATGGCAAGTTGCTCTTAAC